ATGGCATCACAGCTCACAGCAACCTCCAACTCTTGGGCTCAAGCAAGTCTCCTGCCTCCGCCTCCCAAGTAGCTGGGACCACAGGCGCCTGCAACAACATCCGGCTATTTTTTGGTTGCAGCCGTCATTGTTGTTTTGGCAGGCCCAGGCTGGATTCAAACCCACCACCTTAGGTGTATGTGGCTGGCGCCTTAGCCACTTTGAGCCACAGGCGCCGAGCCAAAAAAACCAACTCTTAGTACACTAAGGAAATATCTTAAACCAAAAAAGTTTAAAGGAGAAACTAACATATGTATCATCATGAACATTCAAAGCAGCTTTACTCATCATAGGCCCAAAGTAGACACAACCACAATGCCTCAACAAGTGAACAGATAAAATGGAGCCCATCCATCCCTTTAGCCAGCACTTCTCAGCAACTGAAATGAACAAGGGAGGATGTCCACAGCCACAAAGGAGCACTGCCTGACAGGACACCAGACACAGCAGGATGTGGGCACGTGTCCCCTTAGACACAGAAAGACACAGGTGCGCGGCCCCCACATGGAAGGACACAGGGGCATATTCCTGACACAGAAGGATGTAGGCATGTGTCCCTCATGAACGTGGTTCTAGAAAAGGCAAAGCTGGAGGGAGGAAGCTGGTTGGGGTCCAGGCAGAGTCAGAGATGGGATGGGGCCCAAAGCTGCCAAACACACAATCAAACTGTTGAATTGTGGTTATGTGTGAACTAAATTGTACCTTGATAAAAGGGGTATCTCACTGACAGGTCAGGACTAATGACCAACCTAACAGAGGAAACAAACTATCCAGCAGAAGGCGACAAGGGTAAACACATGACATCTATTTACCCTTCTGAAGAGCAAACTCACAGTACACCACCTGCATGTCATTTAATCAAAATAGTGGAGGCCTAAATCGTCGCCTCTGATTAGTTTCTTAGCTTTGAAGAGCCCCAAGGAACAGCAGGCTGCATGTTCTCACTCTGACCCTCTGCCTCGACTCTATGGACTCATATAAGCTTGAAAGAGCACCTGCTGCCACTTCATTACCTGTTTGCTGAAGTAGAGGGAAAAGGCCCTTCTTACCCTTTAAAACTCCAGTCATTTTTCCTCAACAGCCTGGCATTTTTGCTCCTTCCTTTGTGTGCCGTAGCCACTCACTCTCTCCTCTCTTTCTTTCTTTCTTGGGAAAATAAACTTTGTCCTTCTTTATATTTCTCCAGCCGTGAACACTAGTAGTTTCTTCCCTAACTCACTAAGTTTTCTACCCCTAGCAATAGAGGTGGAAAAAACCCAAACTCCCACTTTATAATAGGCCCCAGCCCCACCCCAGGTCACCAGACTGGGGACAGAGACTGGATGTGAGAGGCAATGAATACACCTTCAAGATAACTCCATAACCTTGGGTAGAGAAAACATTTGTGAAACAGAATGTAAAAAGTACTAACCATTAAGAAAATTATCAGTAAAAATCAACTTCATTAAAAACAAGCACACTGGATTATCAAAAAAACACCAAAGTGACGGGAATGTGATGGTTCACGCCTATAATCCCAGCTACTTGGGAGGCCCAGGTGCGTGCATTGCCTTAGCTCAGGTGTTCAAGACCAGCTTAAGCAAGGGTGATATGCTGTCTTTACTAAAAATAGAAAAACTAGCTGGGGTTATGGTGGGCACCATAATCCCAGCTACTCAGGAGGCTGAGGCAGGAGGATTGCTTCAGCCTAAGAGTCTGAGGTTGTGAGCTATGACAAAAAATCCCTACAACCACTGGAGTGGAAAAAACTACAGACTGAAAGAAAATACCTGCAACACATCTGGACTAGGGTTGGTAGAGTAGCCCATAGTGCATCTGAGGCATGGCTCTGTGAACATCCCATGTGCTGTCCACAACTGCTTCAAGGCAAGGCAGTTTGGGCATGGAAATGAGATTACTACATGGTCTTTCACAAAAAAAGTTTGTCAACCCTTGCTCTAGACAATGAAGAGTTTCACAAAAGAGAAATTAGAAATGGACATATTTTAAAATACTTGACATTATTAGTACACTGGGAAATGCAAATTAAAAACCTGGTAAGACAGTTACTGGCCCATCGAGCCCAGCAGCACAAGCACCAGTGAGGTGGTGGCTCCTGCACTGCTGGCAGCTCCCCAGGTACAAGTGATGTCCCTTCTTAGAGGCTCCAGCCGTTCAGTTGCACAGTTACTCTGGGCTTCCTTGGATGACTCCTGCCTTCTCGTCTGTCATGTGCTGGTGTCGGTGTCCTAAGGACACATGATGGCCACA